TGGGGGTACGGCCCCCCCCAAAATCCCCTCCACCCCCCCTCGCAGGTTTCCCAAGGGATGGTGGGACAATTAGCAGCTCGTCGCGCCGCCGGCGTCATTTTAGAGATGATTAAAGAAGGCAAAATCGCCGGTAGAGCCGTCCTCATCGCCGGCCAACCCGGCACCGGCAAAACCGCCATCGCTATGGGTCCGGCAAGTCCCGTCCCCCTCTCCCCGTGGTGGCTTTGTCACCGTGTGTCCCCCCCTCCGTGTCCTCACGGTGTCCCCAAACGTCCCCTCCCGCAGGGATGGCGCAGGCTTTGGGTCCCGACACCCCTTTCACCGCCATCGCCGGCAGCGAGATCTTCTCCCTGGAGATGAGCCGCACCGAAGCGCTGACTCAGGCCTTCCGCCGCTCCATCGGCGTCCGCATCAAGTCAGGGTGTCCCCCACCCCCCACTTTTGGGGTCCCCCCACCCCTATTTTGGGAGGTCGCGGTTCTTTTTGAGGGGGGTTTCATTTCTTTGGGTTTTTTTTTTACGGCAGGGGGGAGAGGGAGATCATCGAAGGGGAAGTGGTGGAGATACAAATCGACCGGCCGGCGACCGGCACGGTGAGGGCGACGGCACCCCAAAATCCCCTCTCAGCACCCCAAAAATCTCCTCTCAGCACTGCAAAATTCCTCCTAGTACCCTAAAATCCCTCCCAGCACCCCAATGATCTCTCAGAGCACTCCAGGATCTCTCAGGGTGCTTCAAACATCCCCCTCCCCAGCACCCAAAATTCAAAGCATCCCTCAGATTTGTCTTGGGGCACCCCAAAAATCCCTCAGGGCACCCCAAGATTCATCAGGGCACCCCAAGATCCACCACCAGCCCCCCAAAAACTCCTCAGGGTACCCAAAAAACTGTTTGCAGCATCCCAAAAATCTCTCGGGGGACCCAAACAATTCTTCAAGACACCCCAAAATATCACTCAGGACATCCCAGAAATTCCTCAGGGCACCCCAAAATCCTACCTAGTATCCCCAAAAATTGCTCAGGGCACCCCAAAAATCTCTTGGGGCCCCCCAAAATCTCTTGAGTCGCTCCAAAAATCCCTCCTAGCACCCCAAGATCCCCCCCAGCACCCCAATAACCTTTGGGACACCCCAAAATCTCTTTGAAGGCCCCCTTCAAATCCCCCCAGCACCCCCAAACTCCTTGGGGCACCCAAAAAATCTCTCAGGTCACCCCAAGATCCCTCAGAGCACCCCAAAAACCCTTTGGGTCACCTCCAAAATCTCACAGGGTACCCCAACAATCCCTCCTAGCACCCTAAAAATCTCTTAGGGCACCCCAAAATCCTTCCCAGCACCCCAAACATCACTCAGGACACCCCAAACTTAACTCAGGACACCCCAAAAAACCCCCCCAGCACCCCAAACATCACTCAGGACACCCCGAAAATCCTCCGGGGCACCCCAAAATCCTCCCCAGCGCCCCAAAAATCCCTTAGAGTCCCCCCAACATCCCTCAAGACACCCCAAAAATCCCCTGGGGCACCCCAAAATCCTCCTCAGCGCCCCAAAAATCCCCCGGGGTACCCCGAAATCCTGAGCATCCCCCCCCAAATCCCCCGGACAGGGCACCAAAGTGGGAAAGTTGACGCTGAAAACCACCGAAATGGAGACGATTTACGATTTGGGCACCAAAATGATCGAGTCGCTGACCAAGGAGAAGGTGCAGGCGGGGTGAGTGGGGGGGGGACCCCAAAACTGGGGGGGGACCCCAAAACTGGGGGGTGGGGGGACACAGCCCTAAATGAGACCCCAAAATGGGGCAAGTGGAGCTTAAAATGGGGCAGGGGGAGCCCTAAGTGGGCTCTGGGATATTGGAATAGGGTGGGGGGACCCCAAAAGTGGGGGTGAGGGACCCCAAAGTGGAGGGAGAGCACCCCAAAGTTAGGGGGGACCCCGAAACTGTGGGGGCGGACCCTAAAATTGAGGGGACACAGTCCAAAATGAAACCCCAAAATGGGGCAGGGGGAGCCCAAAGTGGGCTCTGGGATATTGGAATGGGGTGGGGGGACCCCAAAAATGGAGGTGGGGAACCCCAAAATGGGAGGACACCCCAAAAGTGGGGCCTAAAATGGGGTGGGGGGACCCCAAAATTGGGGGGGGG